GTGCAATTCTGACTTGAGCATTGAGTAGAGTTCTAGAATACGACCCTAAGAACTCAAACTCATCTTTAATAGTCTACATTGATTATTAAGGGCGGTAAATAAGATATTACTAACGAATAACTCGACGATTGTAATTTTTACCGCCCGTGTTACATACAATGTTTTTCTTCACATTTGCGAAGAAATAGATACAACGATAATTTATTTCTTGTATAAATAAACTTCGCTTCACAACACAACATTTACGGATTTTGCAAATGGCGGGTTTATTTTTTTTTAACAGATTGCCAGCTATTCTTCTATAGATAACACAACACGAAATAAAATGTTATAAAAGAAGGAACAGACATATGCAGCCGCAATGTATTAGATACAAAATAAATAATTTCCAAATTATAAAAATACTGCAGAATTTGAATTCACAAAATAAATTTAGTAAAATATAGTTAAATTGCAAGCGTTTAGTTTTTTTAATATTTCAAGTTTATGCAAAATACAGGTACGTTCAGATTTTTCGAGCATAGAAACAATAGAAACTTTTTGTTTAATCTTGACGTAAAAAAACCAATAGGGCGATAATGTAATGAAAAAGCCCGAGTGTATAATTTAAGACATTACGGTCGACTTTGCCTGCATGGCATGACACTATTTACGAGAAAGTGTGATGAAATAATGTATTACTAGACGATAAAATTATAATTAAAGAAAGTAACTTAAAAACTTTATTTATTAACATAGCAATACTTGTAAAGAAATACGAAACTATCTACAACAATTTTTGTCATGGTATGATTTTTGTCTTTCGATATTTCTATTATTTATATTATGCTAGCTAGTGCTCGGGAATTCGTATGCGTAAAATAATCGAGTAGCCTTAATAATATATTAGTTTTAATTACTAAATGATAACAGATGTTTACCTATTGAGTGAGGATATTCTGAAAATGTATTTATCTTGAACAGTTTCTATAATTAAATATAAAATTAAAAACAATAGTAAATACTTACAGGATCGGCATACAATTCCGAATTGAATACACTTATTATTGTTCCGAACAAAAATCATTTGCACAGTTATAAAACCGTCTAATTTACGTATAAATAACAACACCTTTTAAAATTGTTAATCAAATGTTCAATTGTTGATTTTTCGAAGAAATTGTTCAAATGTAACGAACTTTTCAGTGAGTTCAGAACTTACGAGACAATCGCACAACCGCCAACCGGCGTTTTTCGAATACCTCTAAAATTGTACGCTATTCCGCCACTAGATTTCCCGCCAAAGTTGCAATAATCCTACTAAACCGAAACGGCCATCGCCTCCAACGAAGTCACAAACTCAATAGCACAACATATAATTTAGTGGCGTTATAAGGATTTCATTCATGTTTTTGTTATAACACGACCGATTTCCAAGATATAGAGCAACGTTGTGCGGCAGGTTCTGTGAGGCACTTTCATATTTGGTTACATTGTTCGTTACGCGACTGTGGCGCCATCTTCTCGACCCTTTGTGAACTTTTACTCTTGGCAACAAGGCTGATCGTACGAACTATTCTACTAGATGCCATACTTCTTTTAAAACAAAAGAGCCATAATAAACAAATAACTTCAAATATTTATTACCTACTTTCAGCACACGTTGAAGTTAGTAAAATAAAAATCCAAGTATACAAATTCTAAATACTTTATTAATAATAGAATAACAATAAAAACTTAATCAGAAGTTATGCTAGTTTGGAGATTACTATTGCCGTTTATTTTAAGGCATTATATAATCTTGTAATATTAATAGTTATAGGAAGAACTTATAACTAATTAGGGGACATACTGAGCGCATTAGTGCCTAGTCATTAAACAAAACTAGAAATAAAAAAACAATGATGTCAAGTCTCGCGAACACAATTGAAGTGCGTTAGAATCTTTTTAACAAATTATAAGTGAAAAAAAACAGACTTTTAATTTTGAGCAAATAAAAACAACATGATCTGTTATTTAAGACGGCATCGACACATATTTATTCAATTCTAACACAACATGTATTCTAGAGATCGTAACATTGACTATCAGCTTACACCAGAGGTACCCCGACTTTTTTTTTCTCAACGACCACTTTCAAAATTTATCTGGTTCCGGTGGACCCCCTGCAGCTACATTTCTTCCATATCCATATGATTTTTTGTCACGCCAACGTAGACCCCCGTCGAGTCTCCCGTGGACCCCTGGGGGTCCACCTGTCCCCTAGGGAACTAAGGGTTTACATGAACAGTACATACACTTAAATTAATTATGTGATTGCGAGATTAAACACCAATAATTTCATATGGCAACACAGACCCTTTCTTAGTATCATAAATTCACATTTTAAATTATTCAAAGTTTATATATGCTATCAATTAGTCCCCATATTAAGTAAATAATATGTACAGTAACAAAACTTAAAAGTTCCACTACCACTATAACGAAAATTATTTCCAAAACGAATGTAAACTTAATTAAAGAACGAACATTTAAAAACAATCGAAATCAACAGAGAAAACGATGACGTTCAAAAAATAATCATTGCCGAATTATTGTATGTACGTACTTTAAGCTTTTTTTTCAATTTGTTCAAAATTATAAGTAGAATGCATTGGTAGAATGTTTAGAATTATTGCTATAGTGAGCAGTTCTTATTCAGCCTATCACTATTTCTTTTCTATTTTTTAATTTGCACATGAAACCAAATATTGTCGTAACTCAAAATTGTGGAATTGAAAAAACACGATTTGATTTGTGATGATTGATGTGTGTGCAATTTAGAAATATTTTAAATGTATTGGTTTCGTTCAGTAATTTTTTGAAGTTTTTTGAAGTTTTTTGAAGTTTTTTCTCGATTCCACAATTTAAGTTGCGATAGTGTTTGATTTCATTTGCGAATTATTTTCTATTAATGAATACAAACAGGCAATTCGTTTTACTAAACTTACGTTCGGAAAGTTAGAAAAATGCTACGGTTCTTTATATTTTTATTACATGTAAATGGATACTTTATTCTAAGAACGATCGCTGACTAGGTATTAATATTATTTGGCATAAAATAAAATTATCTGAAGCATAGACGTAATCGAAAGGAAGGCAATCAAATTGTTGAAGACAATGAAGCAAAAGCAAATTAATATTATTATTACATTTTGTAAAACCGACGATGGCATTTGCACTGAAAGGGGACGCAGAATTGCTAAATCATTTAAAGAACTTCATATACTGAGTGCTCGTCCAAATATGTGTATCAATATTGTAAATTGATCTGTATGGTACTCCAAGTGAGAACCGTGTGAGAATCTGAGTAACAGTTAACGAGGTCCATTTTAGCGCTTCACTTGGACACTATTGCAGGTGGTATAATTATAAGGAGACTGGGCGGCCTTCCTTCCAGCTATGCTGTAACATTCGGCGGCCAGAAAACGGTCACCAATTAGTAATTTAGAAAAAATTTTGTAAACGAGCTCCACTTTATACATGAGCACTGAGTGTGCTTCGTGACGATCCGTGCTGCAGAAAACGGATAAGTACCAATTTCGTATTCGGCGTTTACCACTGTAATAATCTGCAGTCTTATGACGACAAGGAGCAATACATGTGAATATAATTAAAGAACAATATAAAAGACTTGAATAATATCATTGTACCGTTACTTCTTGTCCATTACTTCCCTTTAAACAAGATAAGATAAAACTTAGCGAAAATATATTAGACAGATATCTATGTAAAGATGTAGTAATTAATCGGTCATTCTCGGACTGGTGTTCACTACTTAATTTCAGTGGTAATATTTATTATTTAAATATTCAAGTATATTAAATCTACTACTAAAATAATAAAACTTGCCACGGAAACTACGTAGTGAACACTAGTTCGTGAATCACCGTACCACAACATTTTAAGGAGACTATAGACAATTTGGAAACCCGCCGCTTTAAGACTGTAAGGTTTCCCTTATTTTAACATCGAATCAATGAACAATTAACCAGTCTTTATGACAACTTATCCGAATTGTAACAAATAACTTACTGAATTACTCAAATATCTACCCTATCTATATTTCGTTACCACTTTCGACTATGAACATTGTTCATTCGACTTTTCGTTATAACACATTTTAGAATTTGTTCACCATATTTGTTCGATTTCTTAGACATTAAGTTTCGGTGCTTGCTTGTGGCAGCTCTGATGGATATCTTTATCTCCACTGAAAAATAAATATATAGTGGTGAATTAGTTACAATTAATAGAAAAAAAAAAAGCATTTGTACTTCATAAACAATAACTTTTCCAAATTTGCATCAACACATAACCAGCTATTATTAGCATAGTGTTATTGCAGTGACTGGAATGGAGGTAGTTAATTTACCTAAAGTACGAACGTTTTCTAATTATGGACATTCCCATTTCGTCATCATTGTGTGTAACTATTTAACCGACTTCAAAAAAGGAGGTTCTCAATTCGACTGGTTTTTTATGTGGTTTATTGTGAACCGATTTTATTAATTCTTTTTTTTTTGTTGAAAAAAGGGTACCTCAGTATAGGTCCTATTTAAATTTAAGAAAATATTCCATCTCTAGGGGTGGCAAACTACAGAATGAATCCGGTTTCACGCACTATCCAGTAGCCAATTTCAATAAAACTTGGCAAAACGATGTGATTCCACGAACTTGGTCGGTTCTTTTTATAGTTACAGTTTATTTTCTAAACAGTCTACAATATAGTGTATAATGTTTATTTTTTAAATGACTAAAGTATTGAAATACTTAAGTACCTATATAAATACAACCACAATATTATTTTTTTAAACAATAATTAATTATTTATTTAATTAATTAATTAGGAAATAATAATTTGTCGCCAATGTTCTTTGTGTGTACACTGTGTAAATTTCAATAAATAATACGCATATTCAAATACAATCAATTCCAACAAGTCCCGGGATTCTTTAGTTTACGTAAATTAACTCCCTCAATTCCAATCACTGGTTACATGTAACGCTTATTTACAAACAATGAAATGTTTTGTACCTAATTGAAATTCATATTGTTTTGTTTTTGGTATTGGATAACATTGTACTTTACCAATAATTCTTTTTTATTTTTTTTATTACTAGTAGAGATTAGGTTTGAGTAGTTCATGAACTACGAATTGTTAGGAATATATTCCCGACACTAACCGACATAAACTAGATCGTCTTGCACAGTCTTAATAGTTCATCGGTCTTTTTAGTTCAGTATGAACTAGGAACTATCTACGTTGATAGTTCACCTGCCTTTTATTCATTAGGAATAGTTAGCGATCTTTCACTGCTCTATGCATAACAAAGAAATTCGTAAGATCTGCTAACTTGGTCTGTAGCTCAGTTGGCAAAGAGCTGTAACCCCGGTATGGCAACAAACGCTGGTTCGAGTCCAGTCAGATGGAAGGGATTTTTCGTCGAGTCCGATTTTTTAATCAATAATAATAACAAAGTACTAAAGTATTTTCACAAAACAATATTTGAAAATCAGGTAGTAAATCATGATATTGAATAAACGAAACAATATTTTATATTTCTTTTTCATTTATGTGAACCAGATTGTGCATAGTACGAATTGTAGTTATCAGAGACGATCATATTATCGCTTGACATTGTATTTTAAATTGCAATGTTTTGGTACTGATAATATTATATAAGTAAGTATTATAAACTAATATTATAATAATAAATTTTCTTCAGGAGAGAAAAGTTACTCAAAACATCCCCACAAAACCCCCTGAAAGAGGAAGACCCTCGGCTGCATGTTGGAACAATATCGAGAAAGACATGGGGTCGATCCATAACCTTACGATAACTCAGTTGTCGACCGATTCGATTTGATATCGTGCGATTTCTTTTCATTTTTATTCACAACACCCAAATTGAACGTCAAACTGTCGTATTCAGAGAACCGAACCGAAATGACGTCACACCCGTACGATTACTCTAACTTCTCGACCGGCGAAGGTTACAAACATTATTCAGAACACAGATCTCGAATGAAAGTCACCTAACGTCCTATTGTTTACAAAAAAAGTATGTAATATGGAAACATTATGGAAATCTCTTATTATTTTAAATGGAGTCTGGATTTTGTTAATTTATTTTATTGCAAGTCTAATGCATTCCTATATTTTAGACCTAGGATTATCATTTTTCTATAATCTATTTCACCGACTAACTCCGTAAACGCTGTTGGATAACGATATCGTATTTGAACCCGAATCGAACGCTTAACTTGAATGTTCTGAATAGCCCGGAAAACGCCCTTCGATTGGAAAACGATCCAATCGACGACAGAATGATTCCGTTAAAATATCGAAAAGTTCTGATCTGGGGTCCTGAACGCCCTGACTATCTCACCAACGCCAAGCCAGGACAGAGCGCCCTGGCTCCGAAGTACACGAAAGCCTGACCCCAAACTAAATGGGTAAATGGTGTAGTACGTGGGATTTAAATTGAAATCTAAGCACGACTACTCTATTTTTATAATCTTTTAAAATAAAGGTGTTTTATCTTTATTATCATCGTTAACGACAACATCATTAACATCTCTATTAATGACTGATTGATTGTATTGGTTGGCAACATAGTACTCACCGTAATTATTTAGAGATGTTCAATATCCTCTTCAAACAATCTTTTACCACCTTGCAGAATCTTCTCCCCGTCTTTGCCATACTTCCGCATGTATTCCTCCAGCCGGATCAACCATTGCGCCCAATGCTCCCTCAGTTTGTCTGTCGTCAAATGATACGCGTCCGCCTTTGAACCGTCCGTGTAAGCAATGACTAATAAGGCATCTCGTACATTTAAATGCTTGTAGTTCAAGTCGTTGGACACTGCCCCGAAATACGCCGCCAGTTGTACAGGATTGTCGTACGTGAGAAGGATTGACTTGCGAGGTTTGTCGGATTTTTTCCACTCGATGAGAGTTGGTTTGTCCCTGAAAAAATATACATACGAGGGGTAAGTTTAGGACCGACGGAGGATATTTGTGATTTCACACAGGTGTCTTGGGGAACAAATGAAAAGCCATAGCCTCTTGTTTATGTTCACCGAAAGACCAAACTGACTGTACAGTCAACAGCATATCAAGCTATTCACACATTCGTTCGAATATCGCCTCTAGTACAACGGAACAAGATCCGTCAATGTGTAGCTTGATGTGCTGCCGTCTGCACCACTCTAAGATTATAAAATATGGTAGTTAAACTAAACTCAACATAGAAATTTGTAAAGAATAATAGATGTTACGTTATTTTACGAAGACCTCATTTTAACCCCCAACGAAAAATAAGGGAGTTGTAAGTATGAGGGCTTTGTCTGTGTATCTGTATTTGTCTGTGGTATCGTAGCTCCCCTTAATCTCAAGGCGATTTTTTTTTATTTGATGGCTTTTTTGATGCTTAATGAACATCTGTTCTTCTTCTGATCTTTGACGCCGCCTGCTTAGCCGGCCAGCAAGAGGCGGACTGATAGAATGTCTATTTTGGTTGGTCTTTTGTTTTGAATTTTCTTTTGATTTTATTGAGACGAAATAAAGACTGTTTGCGTTTTGGTTTTTTTCCTTCGTTTTCAAGTTCTTTTCCACAGTTAATGTAAGCATGTTAGTCATAAAATGAATATTTATTATACTTTCACCTGTCTCGTCGACTTGAAATTTGTTATACCGTTAATCCAATGACATTAATAGTATTTTACGAGATTTTAAGATTTAATTATGTAATAATTGCATACAATTGTTTTTCTACAAGTAAATAAAATTATGAAACAGAACTAATAATTAATGTACGCATTTTAAAAAATAAATTATAAGCCATTTCTTAGGGCAGGCAAAGGTTCTACTATACAGCTTTTTCACATATTTAGACGAAGGCCACACAAACGCTACGAAACAAAAAAACAAAGAGATAGAACTGGCCAAGTGTCGCATATATTTTAACCAAATTTTTTTTTTATAAAGATTTACGGCCCGGTTGCAAGACATTTAGGCCAATTTAACTAATCAAGAGGCAGTAAAGCCATAGATTACTTAATAGTTACTACGTAAGTATAGCGTTTGAGTAGCGTCCTGATATTTTAATTAGCAAAAATACGACGTTCTTTTTTTGAAACTCATTATAGTTATGTGTACAGAACTTTATTTAAATTATTATCATAGACAATAGAAATTTGAATCAGAACTAGAAAGAGCGCCTTTATGATAATAGTTTATGAAATTATAAACAACCGATTAAAGTGCAGGAGTAGAAAAAATAATATACATTGGTCTGATGCTGCAACAGGCCAGTCCGCTGACTACCATTTTAAATTCTACCAATTTATATCCACACACATTAATTACATGCTTAAGTAAAAGAAGACTACCCAACTCGTCAACTACTGTTCTCATTTCTTTTCTTTTTCATCTGTTGGGCTCATTAAATTGGTCTCGATGTGTCAATAAAATCACCATCTGTAAGCTAACAAGCTTACGGATGGTGATTTTTATTGACCTTTTGGAGTACACTGTATTTTTTCGGGGTTTTTTCATTTAATTTAAGCGTTATACGCAAATAAGTAAACACGTAATCACACGTAATATTGAACAGTGAAAACCCGTAATAGAAACCAATCAAAGATTTAAAGTACTGTCAAGTTCTCTAATAGGATATCGATTTCCTTTCTCATACTTGTGAAATATATAATGCTTTTCAATAGCACTCAAAATGTATAAAGTTATTTTTTTTTAATAATTGCAGGCATTCAGTCAGGTGCTACAAAAAAAACGGCACTTGTTTATGATCTCATACCTTGACGACGCCTTACAAACTTCATACTAATGATTGTTTAGCTAAAAATAAAATGCATAAAAATAAAAATATCCCCGGTTTTCCTTGACAGATTGAAAAACAAAATTCAGATTCATTTTGACTTGACTTTGACTGAATACTGAACGAACTTACTAATATCAATTTAAAACAGACCGCAATCAATTGAGACACGCGTCATTACATTGAGTAATTTCTGCGCAAAAATTGTTCGACTGCTGAGATTGTATTTATAGAAGCAACAATTATTCAAGGCCCGTGTTAATAAATAGCTCCTATGTTCGGTATTAAGTGCGCATCGGTTGAAATGGCAGTCAGATCTCGTGTTGAATTCCAAGGTTTCTTTATTTAATTTTTGTAAAACTCCTTGTGAAAGAGTTCGTCCTGAGAAGTAATGTCACCTTCCCTATTTCTGCCGCCAAGCAGTAATGGTGTTACTGCGTTACTGTTTTGAAGGGTACGGGTGCTGGTAAAATTATAGGCACATAGGACTTGTCAACTCATGTCTCAGGGTACAGGGCACTGCAACTGCTGTGGACAGGCTTCGTTCTTCCCGTCATTTGGTCTAATAAAAAATCTTTACACTTTATACTTCTACAATCTTCTTAGCAAAAACTGACTTAAACATAGACCTACAAAACTTAAAACTTAATTAATAATATAGTGTGACGTTTTACGGTCCTATCCCCATAGTAGCTAGTGACTCTTGGGATTACAAATTTACCCGATATTATTTTTGATACGGTTGATAATAGACGCAACACACTAACGATGAAGGAAGAATATAAATTATAAGTGGCGGAATGGAAGATACTTCGAGAGATTCTGGGACCAATCAAAGGAGAATTTGGGAACAGTAGGGCCAGATTCAATAGAGAGATAGAAGAACTAGTGTCTCAGCCGAACGTAACCGGGGAAATAAAATATGCTCGACTTTGCAGGATGTGTGGAAAGAATGGGAGAGGATCGAGCTGCCAAAAGAGCGTATTTGGCGCAAACTACGGGTCATCGTCCAGTGGTCCGTCCAAGATATCGCTGGAAGGATTTAACTGCCTTCGTAGCCGAACGGTTACCATGCCGGACTGCCACGCAGAGGTCTCAGGTTCGATTCCTGGGCAGGGAGAAATATTTGTATGGCCTACATTTATTTCTCTCGTGAGTTTTGGTGTAATTTATGTTTGTCTATGTGTGTACCCATGGCACCCGCGGCACAGGGTTTTCCTAGTGCGGGGCTATGTTGAGTGCGTGCGTTATTTAAAAAAAAAAGATGAAGTCGTCAAAGACCTAAAGGAACTGAGTGCGTCCGAATGGTCGGGATTGGCACAAGACCGACAGAAATGGCGTACTTTGGTATGGGAGGCCAAGATCCCCTTCGGGTCACTGAGCCAGCGAAATAAGTAAGTACACAGCAAAGAGTCACGCTCCTGTGCGCTATGGTTATTGACAGCCAATAGATAGAGAGAAATTTTGAATAATTTATTGAAATCACCATTACCTTTGACTTACGAATAACTATATCATTATCGCATGCTATTTGCAGACATCTAGTTATAGTTTACATATCATTAAAACTGACCCAATTAGTTACTACCACTGCGTTTAAATTACTTATTACATCAATGTGAGCACGCCCATGTGACATTATTAAAAAAACTAAATGTTGTACCTAATTTAATCTGTTGAAGTGTATGTGAATAAATGTATAATATTATACCTTCAATATGGCTAATGTTAAGCCGTGGTAGCCTAATGCTTTCACTTACCGCCTTTCAAGCAGAGGCCGTGGGTTCGAATCCGGGCTGAGTTTTTCCGAAGTTAGGTGCGAAATTTAATTTAAAATTTACCACAAGCTTTTTGGTGATAGAAAACGTCGTAATGAATCATTAACGTCGAAGAAGCTTCGCTACCCTCGGAAAACGTGTCAAAAGTGAGAGAAAAGAGAGAAGTGACGGCTTGACCCATCGCCCTCAACAAGTGAGACCGGGACGGGATCCCCGTCTCCTGTACGCTGGCCTCTTTCATTACAGGCCTAAAAAACGTGTTTAGTAAATCGATCGATGTCTAGTAAAAGTAAGCAGTTTCCTTTCAAAACAAACCTGTTTTTTCAGCATGTAGTTGTTAAGTAGATTTATAAAAATAATAATATAAAAATTATAAGTGTCATTAGGATTAATACATTCGAGTTTGACTAATGTGAAACTGTCATGAAATTCTCGATCAAAACTGTATTATCTAAACTAAATAATGTTGATAGCCTCGAAATTCTATAAAGCCAGTGTCATTATATTGTCATCGATAAGCAGTGATAATAAGAATGTTTGTTATGTTGAAATATTCGCATTTATTTATATCTCAATTATCAGGTTTACGGAACAATGAAAATGTCATAGTTTCAGTCTTTGTTTATGAATTGCGAAATCGTTCTGCGCATATTCTAATTGTATTTGTATGGACTTCATTTTAAAGTACCAATTTATCGGGGTGTACCATTGACTTACAAATAAATGGACGACGGGTCTAATACGAAAACCACGAAAAAAATGTCCCAAGTTAACCTATTTAAACGTAGTGACATGTAAAGGAATATGAAAAAGCTAAAACGTTAGATTTCAATTGTAATGTCATCGCAGTACTGTCTAATTTTGCTTGCTTCGCTGTCAGTCGAACAAACGAAGACTAAAGCGCGAATGACGCTCTGTATACGATTTTAACGCCCTATAAGTTCGGACACTTTTTAGCGCGGACCCGACGTCCATATAATTGTAAGTCAATGGGGTGTACATAACAGATTCGCTTCAAAGTCAAAGTTGAAGAATCCTTTATTCCGTAGGTAAAATAAATTCAAGCTACTACTCGTTCACTACGCCGACTTCTCCGAGAAGAACGAGCAAGAAACTCTAGGGATTGCTCTTTTGAAATAAATATATGCTATGAAATAGACTTTGATTCAAGTTTATGTGGAGTCTAGAGCCGTGTCGTCTTTCCATACGTCTTTATCTAACACGTATTCTTAAATTTTGTAACATGACTTTTCAATCAAAATATTTTTAATGTAGTTTTTAAACTTAGGAAATGATAATCTTAATATATGCTCCGGAATCTTATTGTAAAATGTACACAGTTCCACAAAAAAGGGAACCTTGGTCACCTTTACCTTGGTGAAATTTGCTTGCTTAATTCAAATATATTGTCACACCTTTCCGGCTTTAGGGTAGATAATACAAATCAATCAAATCAAACTGGCAGCTGTAGAGCTCCTTGTGAAAGAGTTCGTCCAGGGAAGCACTGCCACTTTACCTATTTCTGCCGCCAAGCAGTAATGTGAGCATTTCTGCGTTCCGGTTTGGAAGGGAAGGATGCTGGTGAAATTGCAGGCACATGGGACTTGGCAACTTATGTCAAAGAGTGACGGGCGCAGTGGCAGGGCCCCTAAGATCTTTGCGATTAAAATCTCTAAGTGGCACTGCAACTGTAATGAATAGACGTGTCGCTTACAACCAGGCGCACGACTTCTTCGTCCCGTAATTATCAGCATCATTACATATCTCCTCTAAGGTGAAGGTAGTGAAGTCTTCGTCATGCAATCTGCACCACAATGTTTTCCTTTACCGTTAGCGAGAAGTAGTGCTACTAAATATTAGCAAATAATATGTACGTAACCATTGACTTACAATTATATGGACGTCGGGTCCGCGCTAAAAAGTGTCCGCACTTGTAAGGCGCTAAAATCGTATACAGAGCGCGACACTCCGCTTTAGTCTTCATTTGTTCTACTGACAGCGCGATACTGCGATGACATTACAATTTAAATTTCGAATAGGTTGACTTGGGACATTTTTTTCGTGGTTTTTGTATTAGACCCGTCGTCCATTTATTTGTAAGTCAATGTACGTAACATAAAAATTGAATTCATAGGTGTATGCCGTTATAAATACGAAAAGTCAATCTCTCAATTATAAAGCAACTGGTCTCCCATTTAGTTACCACAGCTTTAAACCTGGTACAATTGAAGTATAAACCTTATCATGCTGGATAAATGTAACTGAGGACACCTGGGCCCACTCGTCTGATTTTAAATCATCTCAGTTGTCTGTCAATAAGTATCATTGCATTGAAAGATTCAAAGTATAAACTTGAGATGACCAGCAGTATACCGGAGTATCTAAATCAGAGACGAGAAAACTTTTTCATCGGAGACCAGAAAAAATAAAAAAATTTACAGGGAGCCAGAATTTAAAAAAAAAAAGAATTTTCTTTTCAAATATTTTTATTTTATTTTTGTATAAACTTATGTATTTTGTGTGTATGTTAACATGTTGTGAAAATATATTTCCTAGGGCCATAAACTCCTAATTTAGATAAGCCTCTCGCGGGTTGGAGTTGGCGCTCTAGGCTATCGACAACCAAAGTGTGGTGATTTTTATTGCCAGATTCGCTATTCAAACTATTATATTCTTTCTTTCTTTCAAAAATCAAGATATGCATAGCAATGTTCTGAGGTAGTTAATTAGTAAGGCAACATCGATCGTTAGTGATTGAATGCATTAATGCCATCAGTGGCATTCCACTGACACTAGTGAGACTCAACTCCCATTGCAACTACATTTAGAAAAACAGGAAATACTATCATAATTACAATATAATCTAAGCGGAGTCTCAAAGGAATTACAATGACCAGTAGTTTAAAAAAAAATTTCAGAATTGGGGCCCTGGAGACGGTCCGAAAAAAAATCGGCGAAAAAGCGACGTGTCCCACTTGGGCCACTCAGAGCTATAAATCGCAAAGATCTGAGGGGTACTTAAACTGCTTGTTACTCGAGGAGAGATTCCGCGAGGACGCCGCGCGGCGACCGCCCAGTTACCACGCCTTCATGTACATTAATGCGAATCTGAATTCTATTTACTAGGCAACAACATTTAAATTCCTCCAAATTCAAGCCAGACTCGCCCGCGTGCACGGGATGCTCATTTAAGTTAAAACGTAAAAGCTAAATGAATAGAGCGTATTTTGTTATGACAGTTAGACTCACGCGGTCGGTGTGCGGCGGCAACGCGAACTCCGCTCGGCGACCGCGCGAGGTGAACGCAATGAAATTCGTGTCGAATAATTGCGCCCTTATCTTAACCGAAGCGCAGTAACGCTATACTACGTGGCGGCAGAAATAGGTAAGGTGGCAGTACCTCAAAGTCAAAGTCAAAGTCAAAGATTATTTATTCCATAGGTAAAATAAATTTACACTTGAAAACGTCACATTTAAGCTACTGCTCGTTCACTACGCTGACCTCCCTGAGAAGAACGAGCAAGAAACTCTAGGGATTGCTCTTTTCAAATAAACTTAAATCACCTCACTGGACGACTCTTTCACAAAGAGCACTACTGCGTAAATTTGCTGTAAAAAAATGACAGTACGTATAACCTAATCTACGGCGCGGTATCTACATGGTTTGAAAGATGTAATACTCACTCGTAATCAGCAATAGCATCAAAAATTCCCCTATACTTCAAGTCAGGGTGAACAACATTGGATTCTATGGCTTTGGGAGAGGATATACTCTTCAATACATCAGCAACAGACGACCAAACACCTTCGACTTCCTTTTCGATACGTAGTTGGCTGCGCGGCTGTGTGAAGTAGTTCTTTAGAGTACTGTGGAACTTTGTACCGACTGCCATTTGAGCTGTAATTAAGAAGAAGTATCTGTTAGTTTGCATAACATTATATCATATGTTATTGATAGTTCAAGATATGTATTCAATATATAGCAGAAGAAGCATGAAGGTAGAATTAATGCAGTAGAAATGAGAACATTGAGAAGTATGGCTGGAGTGACTCGGATGGAGAAATTACGGAACAATGTGATAAGAGAGCGTTGCAGCGTGGAAGAAGATATAGTGACAAAGCTAGAGAAAGAGATGCTTAGATGGTTCGGACATGTAGAGAGAATGAATGAAAGAAGACTGACGAAACAGATTTATAAGGCGAGTGTGAGCGGGCAAGTTGGTATGGGCCGACCAAGGCGAACTTACCTTGACCAAATTAAGGCCATCCTAAAAATGGGCCAGGTCAAGAAGTACCCTTAACCGACGAGCGTGTATGAAAGCACTGATGCGTGTTGATGAGGCGAAAGATGTGTGTCAGGACCGTAGCAAGTGGAAGACTGTTATCTCTGCCTACCCCAATGGAAAAGGCGTGAAGTATATGTATGTATGTATTCAATGTGAACAATTTTGTATTCTAAATGCTTAGTCTGTCTGTTGTGTGTTGTCGTCCTTACAAATACAAGGAATTAGACACGACTCGCGCGCCCGACCCGACACGCGCCCGACCCGCACCCGCTCTCTGTGTGTTTCACGCTTTAGTCAACTGTTTCTATTTTTCACTCTATGTTAATCTGTAAATTACCGTAATTCGGTTCAGCTCGTTATAATTGAATTAAATAAACAAATACCAAAAAGATTACGCGCAGGCATATGTGGTACGATATATGATAAAAAAGTATATTTACTGGGGTTCCTCGTTTAGTATAAGCTTAGAGTTTGAAAGACGAAAATTGTAACTTTTAAAAAAAACTCCAAAGCACGTGGAATTACATCTAATCGCCATTTAAGTACCAATTAAATTTAAATGGGATCAATATTGTGGTATCTTCTTTCCAACAAAAAAATAATCATCAAAATCGGTTCACAAATGCCGCGTTATCGCGTAACATACAAACAAAAAAAAGTCAAATTAAGAACCTTCTCCTTTCTTTATAAGTCGGTTTAAAACAGGTTCGTTTCGACGTAATAAATACAATGTTTTCTCATTGTATCTCGTAACAGTGGTCAACTAAGATTTTTGTTACTAGAATGAGATATACCCTATTTTCCAATTTAGCGTTCCACGCATTTGAACATGAAGTGAGACGATTTCAGGGCTAAATTGCTAATTTCAGACCATTGAAAATGAGTCATTCATAGCTGCAATTTGAACAATACTAAAGACTAGCTAATCCTAATTCAATAGATAACACATTTAATTGTGACGACATAAAATCAATGACCTGATTGATAATTTATTTATTTATGCAATACAAGAAGTATCAATAAAATAATGTAAACAAAACAATTTCACAATCAAACCAAGAACTGTATATTACTGGCTATAAAAATCGCCACACTTGTTTGTCGATGGCATTTAAATCAATGTTGGGCTAACACCAGCCCGCGTAGAGCATTAATCCGGATATAGCTTCTAAAGTAGGAGTGTTTGGCCCTCAGAAATATATTTTCATAGCCTCGTCGATATCGACTGACAAAATACCATATTATATATAATACCATGTTGTGTGTATCACATAATCTCAGTACAGAGTACTAAAAAAAACTGACCTCAAAAGTAATTCATCCCCTAGTTTGCCACCTTTAGAAGTGGAATATTTTCTTCAAATTCAAATGGGACCACTTCTGAGGTACCCTCTTTCCAGCAAAATTGGTTCAAGAGTTATCGCGTAACATACATACAAAAAAAACATACGGTCGAATTGATAACCTCCTCCTTTTTTTGAAGTAGGTTAAAAATAACATACCACTGCACAATAATAAATTAAAAATATTACAAAAGAAAATTCATTTCTTTTGAATTCTGGCTCCCTGGGAAATTGCTATTTTTTCTGGTCCCTAATAAAAACAGTTCCCCCATCCCTGATTAAGGATCGTATTCCAGAACTCTACTCAATGCTCAAGTCAGGATTTGAGCAGACTTGAGTATGATTTCAAGCACTGGAAATACGACCCTAATGGCAAGGACTTGAGTATGACTTTCAGTGCTCACTGCAATACTCAAGTCCTGACTTGAGTATTGAGTAGAGTTCTGGAATACAACCCTTAGATACTCCAAGTATACTGCTGGCCACCTCAAGTCTATACTTTGAATCAAATTTCAATGTAATAAGTTTTCCCCATCGTTTGAAGTGTACTTTAAAGTAAAAAAAATTAACACAGTTACGTTTTGTGCTATAGCACTTCACTGGCTTTTTTATAAATAAGTGAAGCCAAGAAGTGATTTCATAAATTCCTTCTACTAACAGTCATGTCAAATAATATATAAATGAAGGTCATGAAAGATACCTGGATTATTTTTGTTCAAGAGAATAATGTACTATTTTCTTTTGTCACTTTTTGAATTAAGAGCTCTAAAACCAGGGATATTAACAATAAATTCAACAAGCAATTATATTGTAAAAAAAAAAAGAATAGTGAAAATTCCCAGGGAATTTGCCGCCAAGCGGTAATGTGAGCATTACCGCGTGTGCGCACAGCATCCAATTTGTATTCAATCCGAATCCCAGACCATACAAAACTTGAGAACTCGGACCCACTCCGAATGTCATTTGTGCACTAAGTCCAATTCGAAGCTATCTAGCTATCAATTTCTGTGATATTTCGGACCGTCATTTCTCGGATTCATTATAAATTTAGACAACATTAATTTGTAACTACATTGATTGCATAAAAAACGTTGATAGATAAATAGATAACGGTTTTATTATTTATTATCTTGAGTTGTGTGTCATAAAGTAAAAGAGGTAAAACAAATGAGCATAAATGCTTCTATAAAAATTTGATATATTATACTTAAATATATGATATTTTTATATTCTTTCTAAACTATACTATTTTTGATATTCTGAACAATAATCGTTTTATCCTGACAGCTTAGGTGGCAGATCTGCCCTTACATGTAACAGTATTATTGTAATGAGTGCCAAGATTTATAATAAATTACCATCTGACATAAAGAACGGATATTGTGACATTTTAAAGAATATTTTACTCTATTGATGAGTATTTGAATCCAAATAAGTAATTTAGTATTTTTAATTACTATTTTAATCAAAATATTTTTAGTTTGTAGAATAATAATATTTATTTGTATATTGACAATGTAATGAAGACACACTAATATTAGCTAAAAACTTTATAAATTGTATATAATTCTTATGTTCCTTATACTCATTTACTTATCTAGTTCGTATGCCTTAAGGCGCAGCATAAGAGGGTCACCATAAATTTATTTATCACCATGTATTACATGTATCTACTGTAACCTATGTTGATGAATAAAAATATATTTGAATTTGAATCCTATAATCCTGAGGTCAGCACTGCTGCTGCCTACTTCCTGGATCTACATCTTATTTGTCTTCTATGTAATAATAATTTGGTACGCAGTATGGAAGATAAAGTAAAAATTACAAAAAAATGTCTTTTTACTCTAACTAAAGCCTAGTTCCAAATAATCTGAGTTCGACACTACTTTTAAGTATATATTTACTTGGGTTAGAAGCAATCCAGTGCGGTGTACTACCGAATAAGTTTCCAGGACATAACTATTATTATTAGGAGAATTTTGAATTTTTTTTAAATACACAGAAAAAGTACAACAATCACCAGAGACCATGAATTTGTATCCCATAAAGAAACCTGCACTACTGGGTTCTAGTTATCACTTTCTATAATGGTGCAAGATAATAATGTGATGAAACCTGTTAGGTTTACAAAACGTTTGAGAGACATATGAAATTATATACTCAACATGTCATTGCCGTGGCTTTAAACATCTTGAATGGTTTATTCCGGGACTATACTGATCTTCATCATCGCCAACAACAAACAGATCTATTGTGATCATTACTAATTACAACTCGAAACACAATGCCAAAACACTTTACAATGTTGCTTATATTTTACAGCCTTGGTCGGACTTATCTGATACTGTATGGTGTGGAATGGTGATAATAATGGTGATTATAATTACTAATGTCAAACTATGTCACATTAAGTAAAAAAAAACTATTTTTGTTGACTTCCAAAAATCTTCCACAAAAAAAACATTAATTGTCTTTTTTAATCTGTCACCATCCTTGAAAATTAATATTATCAGGACACAGAAAAACCCACATAAACAATATCAATTAAGAAAGAATCGAAAAGAATAAGTGAAACAATGCAAAACACACTGCATCAATCACTCACAACAAGGCACCACCTATTTATTAATTAATGACATTATTTATAAATTGATATTTCAGGGAAGAAAGGTGCAAAATATCTAACAAAAGTGAATTATTGTTTATTATTACTTTCAATCTGCCTATGCAAAGATGTACCTATATCAAAGACTAAAAGATATTAAGTGAGAATATTTTGTTTTTTTTAATCTTTGAAATTCGCATGGTTGTTTTCTTCACCTCCAAAGTAACAAAAAGTGTTACTGAAATTGTTGATGCAGTTAATTGTTAAATGTTGTGTTCATTGTTTTATGGAATAGATAGTGACAATGCTCACAATAATTTACAGATCAACAAATGGTTACCATGATGAAGTGCTGCGCGAGACCCAAATAAGGTA